ATTGAATTCCTCAGGTGCAAGCTATTGAACCAGATTAATTCAGTGACTCTGAGCCAAACAGGCTAGTTCTAAGTGAACACAGGCAGTCACCTATGCACCTGGGCATCTGGACCTACACACATGAAAGTCAGCACCCCGTGACTGGAAACTAAGCGACCTTCGCTCCCTTCCCGTGATCCCTCCCTCCCTCCTTTCCACTCTCCCTAAAAATCAATGGAAGAAAATATCCTCGGGTGAGGATTAGAATAAAAAAGGAAGATGCGAGGCACCCGGTGATACACTGATGTGTTGACGCTTTCTACGTGCTCAGCACTGTTCTAAGCAGCGCACAAACGTTAAGTATTTGAGCCTCAGGACAACCCAACGAGGTGGGTCCTGTTTCTATTTCTACTTCACTGGGGCGGGGCAGGGGCGCTGGAGCAGGGGGAGGGCAAGTTCCTGGCCCAGGGCCGCACAGCGAGGAGGGCAGGCCGTCTCCAGGCTCCTAACCGTCCTGCACCCCGCCCGCTCCGCCTCCATAATGGGAGCTACCGGGGCCCAGGCCAAGCCCGTCAGTTTTCTGAGTTGGAAACGGAGGACCCACGACGGTGATGACTTGTCTCAAGTCTCACGGTCCTCTAGTGTCCTGGGCCCAGCGGGGTCTCTTCCCTGGTGCCTGTGGGGCCAGGTCAGGGCCCCGGGGAGGAAAGGCCAGGCCTCCTTCCTGGCCCAGTGATGGAGGGGCTGCTGAGCAGCTGCTATGGCCGAGCCGAGAGGCACACAGGGACCGAGACCTCCTGGAACCCGGACAGGACGCCTCAGGAGGCTGGCTGGGTGCCTGGCGGGGGGACCTGCACAGCCAGACGGAGCGTGGGGCCTGCGTTGCAAGCAAGAGCCAGGGACACATGCAGACAACACGGGCTTCATGGGAAGGTGTGCAGGGCGTGGGGACCGCTGCCCGTGGTTGCCCGTCCTGGGGGCGGGGCTGGCAGCGCTGTTCCCGGGCTGCATCACCAGGATGAACGGCTGTCACACTTTCCGTCCTATGTCACTTCATTCAAGATTCAAATCTTGAGAGAGAATTTTATCAAATTATTGTAGGTCACATGCTTTTCTCTGAGCCTGTCACTGTGTCCAAGGGGATGGAGCACTCGGATTGGCCAGGCTGGGGTCACCTGTTTGTCTCTGGACCAGGGAGGCCCACCCCACTGAGTCCCAGGGACCAGAGGCCAGAGGGGTGCTGCCCCCGCAGGGCCAGGCTCAGGAAGAAAAGGAGCGGCCTGCAGCTTGCAGGGGGACAGCCGGGCATGGGCTGGTCTGCAGAGCTTGGGGGTGCAGCCACTCGCCCTCCCAGCAGACGCTTTGTGTGGGAGCGGAAGTGGCCCTGCCTGGCCTTCCCAGAGGCCCCCATCTGGTGGACCCTGACCCACCTTTGTTAGTCAGTGAGTGCACATCTGACTCGCTTCTTCACTTCTCTCTCTGCCTGGCGCCCATTTCTCTAGCCCAGTGGCCGGCAGCCAGCTGCTCAGTAGAGTTGCCCAGGACCTGGCAGAACTCTGGTGCCCACGCTTCCCTCCCGACCCATCACAGCAGGTGCCCCTGGATGGGGTCTAGACATCAGCATTTCTTTTCTTTGTTTCTTTCTTCCTTTTTTTTTTTAAATTCAATACATTTTAGTATAGAGTTGTGCATCCAACACCGCCATCATTTTTTCCGGTTTGATTGAGACATCATTGACACGCAGCACTGTACCGGTGACCTGACCGCCATACATTGTGCAATGATAACTACAGTAAGTCTAGTTAACATCCATCATCCCACATAGATTTAAAAAAAGCAAAGGAGAACGTTTGCCACCATCGATGTAAAAGCCTTTTCAGTACCTCAAGAGGGCAGCATTCACCCCTCAGCTGTTCCTCCCCACCCCCAGCCACAGGAAACAGCAGCCTGCCTTCTGTCTTATAGATTTGCCTGTTCTGGACATTGTATGAAGATGGAATCATGTCATGCTTGGTCCTTTGTGCCGGCTTCTTTTCCTGAGCATAATGATTTCAAGGTTCATTCATATTATGGGGTGCATCAGTACTTCGCTTCTTTTTATTGCTCAATAACATACCACTATATAAATATACCAGGTTCTATTAATCCATTCATTAGCTAATGGACATTGAGTTGTTTCCATGTTTGGCTATTATGAATGATGCTCTATAAACATTCCTGTACCAGGTTTTGTTTGGGCACATGTTTTCACTTCTCTTGAGTATATACACCTAGGAGTGGAATTGCTGGGTCCTGGGGTAACTCTATGTTGACATGTTTGAGGACCTGCCGGACTGTTTCTGAAGTGGTTGCACCATTTAACCTTCCCACCAGCAGTGTAAGAGGATTTCTGTTTCCCCACATCCTCGCCAACACTTGTCATTTTCTGTCTTTTTTATTAGAGCCTCCTCGTGGGTGTGGAGTGATCTCTCACTGGGGCTTTGACTTGCATTTCCCTGTTGAGCATCATTTTCTGTGCGTATTGGCCATTTGTACATCTTCTTTGGGAAAATCTCTATTGAAATTCTTTGCCCATTTTAAAATTGGGTTATTTGTGTTGTTATTATTGAGTTGTAACAGTTCTATGTGTTCTAGATAAAGGTCAGATATATAATTTACAATTTTTTCTCCCATTCTGTGGGTTGTCTTCACTTTTAAAAAAATATATTTTATTGATTTATTTACAGAGAGGAAGGGAGAAGAAGTGAGGGATAGAGAGTTATAAGTATCGATGAGAGAGAAACATTGATCAGCTGCCTCCTGCACACCCCCAGTGGGGATGAGCCTGCAACAAAGTACATGCCCTTGACTGGAATTGAACCTGGGACCCTTCAGTCCGTAGGCTGACGCTCTATCCACTGAGCCAAACCAGTTAGGGCTTGTCTTCACTTTTCTGATGGTGTCCTTTGAAGGAAAACCTTTTAAATTTTGATGAAGTTCAATTCACCTAGTTTTTCTTTTGTTGCTTATGATTTGGTATCATGTCTAAGATCCAAATCCAAGGTCATCACAAAGACGTTCTCTCATGTCCCCCACCCCTCCCCGCCAGGGTTTGACAGTTTTAGCTTTTAAATTTAGGACTTTGATCCATTTTCAGTAATATTTGTATGTGGTGTGAGGTAGGGGTTCAGCTTCATTCACTCTTTTGCATGTGGGTATCCAGTTGTCCAGCACCATTTGTTGAAAAGACTATTCTATCTCCATTGAATGGACCCTTGCTAAAAATCGGTTGACCATAAATATATGGGTTTATTTCTGGACTCTCAGTTCTATCCCATTGATATATATGCCAATGCCATACTGTCGTGATCACTGAGGTTTTATGGTAAGTTTTGAAATTAGGAAGTGCGATACTTCTAATGTTTCCTTCTTTTTCAACATTATAAGATTATGTTCTGTGCTCCTTCAATTGCCATATGAATTTTAGGATATGCTTATCAATTTCTGAAAAGGAGTCAGCTGGGATATGGGTAGTGATTGCATTTAAATTTAAAAATGTTTTCAATTACAGTTGGCATTCAATATGATATTAGTTTCAGGTGTACAGCATAGTGGTTAGGCATTTATATAACTTACAAAGTGACCCCCCTCGCCCCCCGCAATAAGTCTAGTGCCTCCTGACACCACATAGTTATTACAATATTATTGACTGTCTTCCCTGTGCTGGACTTTATTTACAACCTCGTGCATGTACCAAGATGGCAACTCATTTATTTAGGTCTTTCTTAATTTCCTGGAACGGTGTTTTGTAATTTTCAGAGTAGAGGGTTTGCACTTTCACGACATGTTTTTAATGGGACCTCGGTGAGTCTAATCTGCAGCCAAACTTTCATAACGATTTAAACAGTGAATGATGCCTCCAAAGCTTTTTTCCAGGCCACGGCTCATCATACCTCTTCCTCCAATAACCCCACCGGCCTCAAGACCCTGAGGCTTTGTATACACGAGGAAAAGGAGGCTCCCTTGTTATTACACAGACAGCAGGTGGGAGAGCAAAGACCTCAGCTCTGGCCCACGACCCCAGTCAGGCCTCATACGCTGCCTGATTCTCCCCTCCCCACGCACACCCCTGAAAACACCTTAGGCCGCTGCACATGCGGGCCCGTTGCCTGGGACAATCTCCTCCTCCGCCCGCTCCAGGCTTAGCCTTTGGTAACGTTCCCCTTCATTTTCCCACTCCACATGTGAGCTCCTCTGAAAGGCTTCCCCAGGCCCTTCTCATCCCTCTCGGGAGCAATGGCAGGTGGCACCTGCCTCCACACAGCGCATGGCCTGTTATCTCAGCATTCGCCTCCCCTCCCTTCCGCTGAGTCCTGGCTGCTAGTGGCAGGAGGAGAGGGTGGCTTCCAAGGCGAGTCACACAGGCCACAGGCTTCTGCTTGCTCACGAGAACGCTGGCCCTTGGAGCCCTGAGCCTCACGTCGGCAGTTGGGCCCCCTGTGAGGGCACCTGGAGGGGCCACAGGTGAGGTGCGCTGGTGACAGTCCTTGACCCACCCAGCGGCCACCAGAGCTGGGAGTGTGGAAGCCAGCTTGGCAGTGGGCCCTGCACCCAGCCACCCGACGAGGCCTCAGGTACCGGGGAGCAGACACGGTCCTCCTGGCTGTGCCTTCCTCAGCCGCTGGCCCGCAGACGCCGTCAGCATCGTGGCTGTCACACGCCTCTGAGCTCCGGAGGGGCCACACAGCAGACATCCAGGGCAGCGGCTGCGCGTCTGTCCACCATTGGACTGTGGACGCTTTGTGGTGCAGAGTCAAATTTATCTTCTGGCTCCAGAGCCCAGCGGGCACCTAGCTTGGAGTGGGTGCTCATACATGTTTCTTGAGAACAGGTGACACTGCCCGTGGTCCAAAGTGCCCTGAGCTGGGGCTTTGCTGACACTAACATGTCCCACTGACACGGCGGCCACGCACCAGACTGGACCACATGAGTCACAGCCCCTGCGCCGGAGCCAGAACGCCCTTCTGCGGGGATGTGCGTACCGTTAGCTGCCAGATGCGGGCCGAGCGGAGCGCGCACGGCGACTTTCAGCCGGTGCTGTTCGTAAGAGCGGAAGTGTTCATACACGTTGTGAACACCCGTGGCACCCAGGAGGGGGAGCGGGGCTGGGAGTGGCGGCGAGGGGGGAGTTTTCGGTCTCTGGACTTTAATACTTTTTGACTTTTGAAGTGTGTATTACCTCTTCTAAAATAAATATTAATACATGTGCTGTACAGCTTGACTTGGAACAGAATTAATATTCTTCTTTAAATAGACTCAACTGAAAAAAATAAATACAGTTATTGAAAAGGAGCGTTTGCTCTGCCATCCTAGAAGGACACTTGGCATCACTCGCCGCACGTGGAGACACGCAGGCGAGTGGCCGTCCGGGGTCCTGGGGAGAGCAGTTTCGGGAGCTTAGCAGGAAATCCCGTTTTCTCTCAGCTGGGATCTGAGGCAGACACTTAAGAATCCACAAAGGAGTTACAGCGACAGGAAGCGAAGGACTGCCGCCCCCACACGGTGACTTCCTCGTAATCACACGGCTTGGGGGTCGTTAGCCAGGACACCACTTCCCGCTGCACAATGGGTGCTACTGATGCTCTGCCCATTTGCACCCAAAGGACCTGTGTGGTGCCTGGGGCCCGCCTGTGCTCTGTGGGAAGCCGGTGCTCCCAGACCCCCGTGCTCCCCCCATTCCCAGCGGGTAGGTCCTGTGACCGGCCCTGGCAGCGGGGCTGTGGCATCTCCCGGCGGGCAGCCCGGAGGCCCTGTGTCCCAGCGTCACAGCCGCAGGCCACCTTCGCAGGGATGAGAGGAGCCGAGGCACCGAGGTGCGGGCTGACGTGTGCCTGCCTCCGGCTCCGGCTGTGCCCACACGTGGGAAACACGACCTTCGAAGAGCCCTTTGCCAACATTGGGCCTCCAGAATCTCATCTCCGTCCCAGCTGGGCCCCTTATTTTCCCTCTCCTCCTCCTTCCTCTTCCCCAACCCTCTTCCCCCTCCTCCTCTTCCTCCCTCCCCGTACATCCCCTGGATCCTGCCCTTGACCGCTCCCCATCACTCTGGGCTTTGCTTAGAGCCTCAGGGTCTATTGAGCTTCCAAGGAGCCTGGTTAGTCAGGCGGGGGTCCCAGGAGCAGCGGCTGCGCAGCCTCTGACGGTACCTCCTTGCACGCCCCCAGGGCCGGGAGGCTCACCTCCTCTCCCAGGGGTCCAGCTCGTCGCCGGCCACGCCATCGGCGCCGTATTAATTAAACAGCATGTCCCTCTTCCCATCCACAGTCCCGTGGCATTGCTGCCCCGACCCAAGAAAGCCTCCCTGAGGAGTGACATGGGAGCCGAGCCCGTGTCCCTGTGGCCACAAGCTCGGTGGCTGGAGGGAGGACGGGAGCCAGGTGTGGCCAGAGGGTAGTGACGAGAGAGAAGGATGGAGAGCGGGCGGTGGAGAGGCCTGGGGAGGCTGAGGACCAGCCGCCACCCAGGCAGGAGCAGAGGGCACGCTCAGGGGTGATGACGCAAGCTGGGAAAGGAAGTTCCAGAGGTGCGGGTGGTGGAGGGAGGCCAACAGGGAGCGACAAGCCGCCTTGGGACCAGCAGTGGGGTCCCTGGTGCCACCCCTAGTCTCAGGCCAGGGAGGAGCAGTGGGGAAGCCGGAGGAGTTGTGGCTGGAGGAGGCCGCCAGCCGCTGTCCTCAGTGGGACCCGCCATGGCCACCCACGGCCACGCAGAGAGGAAGGGAGTAACACCCAGCCCCCATCCCCACCGATCTGCTGCCCACGGTCCGATGGGGAGAATCCAGAGGGCAAAGGCTGATGCGGCCCCTCAGGCCAGCCCTGGAGCAGGAAGGAGGCGCAGGATGGAGCGTGATCTGGCCGGTGGCTAGTGGGTGAGAGTGCCATCCTGACAGGCCAAGGTGGCGGGCTTGGTCCGGTCAGGGCTCATACGAGAAGTGACCACTGGCCTGGCCAGTGGCTCAGTGGGTGGGAGCGTCTTCTGTATCACAAAGGCTGTGGTTCAGTCCTGGACAGGGCACATGCCTAGGTTGTGGGTTTGATCCCCTATCGGGTGCATATGGGAGGCAACTGATTGATGTTTCTCTTTCACATTGAAGTTTCTCTCTCTCCTTCTAAAATCAAGCATATCCTTGGGTGAGGATTTAAAAAGAAAAGGTCAGCGCTGGTGAGGATGAAAAAGAAGTAACCAATGAATGGATGGAACAACAAATCGATGTCTCTCTCTCTCTCTCTCTCTCTCTCTCTCTCTCTCTCTCTCAAAGGGGCATGGTCTGGAGGACACCCGATCCCCCCTCAGGCGCAGAGCCCTGGCCCAGTGTGCATTTTGTTCTTAGTTCCTAGCCTGGAGGAGGGGGCGGGGGAAGGGTGATCTGATCTGGGATTGGCTGTCTGGCTGCCGCCTGGAGCCTGGGTGGCTGATTCTACTTTTGAGTATATTTGCTATCCTAAAATGTATACGTCAGTACAAGTAGTCCCTCACTGATTTATGTAAAACCCTGATGTTTGAACGAAAGAGAGAATACCAAAAATCATCCCTGGACTTAATATAGGCCAAAGGAGGAATTATGTGCCAGTGACCAGCAGCTCTGTCCTCAGCGGCCCCATTCCAAAACAGGACATGACATATGGTAGCCTTGGACTACCAACCATGTCTTGTAGAAATAGATACTCTGTACAGAGTAGGTGTTGAGTAATATTT